TTTTTTTTTTTTTTTTTTTTCACTTGGCCATGGACGATCTGTGTAGAAAAATGGCGATACCATCGTTTTTTTTTTCATCGCACGGTCCTAATAGAACCGGCTGTAATCCCATGTAATTCATAAATGTTGCTTGTTTACACAATGTAGCTTCATAATTATTTTTATTGTTTCATTGTTTTGAGCCTTATGGTTTATTTAATTTCACATTGACTAGCTATTACTACAGTTGAAGGATTTCTAAGAAGGACCACAAGCTTTGGAATTAATTAAAAAAAAAAATAAAATAAAAATAATATCATGTACTATTTGTTTTGTCAATGTGTCCAAAATATTTTATACATATTATTTGAACAAAGAAAAGCTTCTTCCCTTTCACTTTTTCTAAAAAGTTTGCTTGTCCTTTTTCTTGGTCAATAATAAGTGCTCTTCAAGAATTACTGAATTAGGTTTGCTTTGTCAGAAATCAGAATCCCCTTTGGCTTAGTCAATAATTCCATAGTGACAACCATGAAAATATTTGAAAAAAATAAAAAATAAAAAAATATTTGATTCCTCTTTTGTCCAAGACAACTCTTTATCAATGGGTAAAAAATAGTAGTACTACTTTCTAAATGTCTAATACAGCTTTTATATTGGACAGTAAATTTAAGACAAAAAACAGTACTGACTGGTCTTTGTCCTTATGATCCATGGAGCCATTTGATTTATTGCCACCGAAGTTTTGATTATGAGCATCGGCGTCTAGGCGCGCGGTGCCCGGGTGCCTTCGATTTGTACAAATCGACATAAAAACTTTAATAAATCAAAACTTAAATGTATTTATTTCTTATTTATTTTATTTTTTAATCATCGTTAACATTCAACTAGAAAAAAAGTAAAACTTTTGAAGCAAAAAAAAAAAATCAACGTCGATTTAAATGTACAAGCATTTATTGCCTGGGTTATTATCCCATGTTGGCCCAAATTTATACAAAGAGAAAAAAAGAAAGAAAATATATAAAGAGAAATAATTCATGACAAAATGTCAATGAGAAATTTACTCACCGTACGTCTGAAATAGATTTTTTTTGTAAATTACGAGTTCCAACTTTTATTTATGAATATACGATAGTCATTAAAATAAACATAACCTCACCTCATTAGGAGGCAGTTTTGTTTCTCTCCATGCCACTGAAAGCTTCGTGTACCTTCAGATTCATTCCAAAAATCCTTTAAATAGTTACAAAAGCTTGAAATTTTGTTCGAACCGAGTAAACAAGTTTTATGTATGTGCAAAAGTCAAAAAACCATGCACCATTTTTTGTTCTTATTATTTTTTTATTGCAATCTGAAAAAAAAAAGGATTTAAAAAAATCTTACTACTCCTTCGATATCAGGGATTGGATTGCAAAAATTCAGATAAAATTGCTATTCGCAAAATCGCCTTCAGTAAAAAAAAGTCAGATATACAGTATATATACTGTTTAGATATACAATATATATACACCAGATAAACACGAACTGACAATTCTATACTATATAGATATACAATATATACGTACACCAGATAAACACGAACTGACAATTCTCTAATATTAACCATATAGTTATACAAAAGATAAACAACATATAAACAACATACTTCTCACAAGGTAAGCCTTTCTGTTCTTCATCAGATTCAGATTCTTCCTCGGCTCGCCCGTTTCTGTAGTCCCGATCGAGGTAAGTTTTTTTACGGGTATCATAATAGAAATTATTTCTATCGCCGGACCTTCGACCATCGTCATGATTAGGGTACGAGTAATCCGGCGAAGGAGGACGATACCTGACATAGTCGTTGCTCTTGGGGCTTCCACTCCGACTCCGGAAATTAAACTGAAACTGACGCACTCAATCTTTATTTATTTATTTATTTATTTATTTATTTTTTTGTTGATTGTTGAATCGAGCTCGTGTCCGATCTTGAAAAAAAGAATGGCTAGTCTTTGAGTATAGATTGAAATTTGAAATTCTCAAACACAGAATGGTAAATCTCATTTTTTTTGGTATGATTATATTGATAATTTTATTTTGCTATGCGTCAATTTCGGTTTTACTAATTGGGGAGAGATTATGCATCAATTTTGGTAAGGTTGAAGATTCGTAAATCTGAAAATATAATTCTACAATGACCTTAAATGATA